GTCCTTGCCAACAGGTGTGATATTTTGTGTTCAGAGAGGAGACATGACTGCCTGCAGGTGCCCTGGCAGGACCAGGCTTTCCTTCACCTGCAGTCAAGCCTCTTACCTGGGAAGAGACCCAGAGGCTCAACTGGAGCATAGGATGGGCAGCTGTGGCCGCATGCCTTGCTCCTCGGGGAGAGACGCTGGCCCTGCAGGGCAGCAGGCACCAGGCCCTCCTGGCAAGTGGAGGGGGAGGCACAGGGCTGTGCAGTCCCCCAGCTCAAGCTGGAGTCCCTCACTGACCTCTCTTTAGCCCTACAGCCACAGGTGATTTCCTGTGACTCACAGACCTCATGGGTCCCACATGGAGCTGGAACAATCATGCCCGTCTGGCCGCTTGTTGGGAGAGTGAAATAAAATCATGATTACGGCAGCCCTGGCACCAAGAAACAACTAAGCACAAAGTCTCCTGATTCTTGTTTTGTTTTTTCCTCTTAGAAACCCACATCATCCCTGTAGCTACGTCTTGGGCTACTACAAGTGGAGAAAAGCATTTAGGGGGAGCTTCCGCTTTAGATTATGGGTATCCATGAAATCCCCACGTCTCCTGGTAAAATGCGTTCTCAGGCGCACGGGGTGCACAGAACTGTCTCCATGGGCGCACAGGTGGGAGGCCTCTCTGGAAACACCCCCCATCCCTCGTCTCCCTGGGAGATGACAGGAAACTTGGGAGACATTTAATTATCCTCTCTGTGGGTCATGGGAGGAGCAGGCAGCCAGGGACAGGGGGAGGCAGGTCCCCTGCCTCTCCAGCATTCCCCACAGGGGGCTGTTCTCTGGCTGAAGCGCCCCCGGTAGGGCAGTGAACAACCATCCCTGTACCCCCAGGGCAATTGCTGGTGAAACCCGCCTCCCACCAGGTTTTCATCTGGGAGTGTGTGTAAAATAGTTCCAGGTCTTGCTGTTTTCACAGATATTTTTTCTGTTTTCTTTTTGGTACCTCCAGATCCCAGACGGGAGGCTGAAGCTTCAGACACCTCCTACCATTGCCAGGATGGATCCTGAACTCTTTATGGCCCAAGCATCTGGCCCAAAGCTGCTCGTCCAAGGAAATGTGTTTACCTTCTCTTTCTTTCCTTAAAAAACACCACCCCCAAAACCAGTGCACGGTTCATGAAGTAATGCCTCCCAGAGAGATCAGATGATGGCATCCTTCACCTTATTAGGAAGCTGGGGTCAGACCTTAAGTGGGGCCTGCTGGGCACTGAGCTTTGACAGCTGCCAGGAGAGGTGCATGATCTGGCTCCGGATACATGTGTCAGCTGGAGGCTCTGGGCACAGCCCCTACCTTTGCCACCAACAAGCAGCACAATCACCACCAGCCTGTTTCTTCTGACCTCTAGACCTCAGTTTCCCCATCTGTAAAACTGAGGATAATTAGTTCACTGCATGGGGTTATTTTGAGGCTAAAACGAAATTGTTTGTGATAGTGTCTGCCATGTGTCCTATCATTTAGAAGTCAGGAATCAGTCTGCTTTTACATACGTGGGTGCACACGTGGTCCTGCACTCACAATTCTGTTTTGGAAATGGTGTCCACTGCATGCTCCCAGCTTTTTGAGAAGTAGAACGAGGCGGACCCCTCACGTGGGTGGTGCCCTTCAGGCCTCTAGCAAATCCCCCTCCCTCACCAGGACATGCCCCGAGCCACAGCTTTCCCATCTGAACAGGGGGCTGCACCCAATGATGCCTGGCTTTCCTTTTCCCTGGACGTTCTGCACCTCCAAGAAGCATCTCTCCTCTCTCTCCCACTAGACATTAGGGGGTTACAGCAGACTTGTGAGATTCACCAAGCTGGAGAAGATTGTGTGAGGCAACGGTCCCGAGGATGGGGTGACCCCACAGGGCCGTGGACAAGAGTTGGGGAGCAGGGAAGAAGCCAGAGCTGCAGGGAACACGCTGCAGGGAACCAGAGTTGGGGGTTCCCGGGAGGAAAGAGAGGAGCTGAGCCCCGGGACGGTGAGAGGGATGGAAAGGGAGGCTGCTTCACTGTGATCCCCACAACTGCCCTGGGGTTTAGGAGCGGGTCTCCCCCTCTCTGAAGCGGGTCCCACAGCCCTGTGTCTCTCACGCTGTCACGGGTATTAAGGCCTCGCTTAGATATCATTTGCTATAGCCCAGCAGGGGCAAACCCTTTCTCTAAAGGGCCAGGTAGTAAATAACTGAGACTTTGGGGGCCATGTGATCTCTGTCATAGCTGCCTAACTCTGTCGTCGTAGCTCGACAGCAGCCACCAACAATCCCAGAACAGACGGGGCACTGTTCTATTCCAACGAGGCTTTGCTGTTGTTATTCTTCCTTTGAATTTTTTCAAACATTGAAAAATATAAAAACCATTTCTAACTCCCAGACTGTACAAAAACAGGTAGCAGGCCAGATTTGGCCCACAGGCTGTAGTTTGCCAACTGCTGCTCTGGCCTCGTGCTGTTCAAAGTGGGGTCCAGGGACTGGGAGCAGCAGCCTCATCTGGGAACTTGCTGGAAATGCAGAAGTCCAGGACCCACCCAGAGCTACTGATTCAAAATCTACATGTTAACAAGAACTCTGGGTGACTCATGTGCACTTTAAAGTTTAAAAACATATTGATGGCTGGTGTGTCCCCCAGAGATTCTAATTTAATAGGTATGGGGTGCAATCTGGACACTGGGATTTTTAAAGCTCCCCAGGTGGTTCTAATGTACAGCAAAGTTCAAGAACATGGCCCCCAGAAAGACTCCCCAGGGGGAGTGGGCTGCCTCTCCTTCTGGCTCCCAAAGGCCCCAGGTCACTCCTCCAGGACAAAAAGCATGTCACGGTATAAGGATTATTTGTCACAATCTGAGCTCTTCTGGGGTCAGGATCCTGTCATTTCTAATTTGTGAGGATCTCACACAAACCGCTTGCCCCTCTGGGACTCAGTCTACTCCTCCCTACAATGGACAAGCTAAACTCCAAGATGGTTTTGTAGCTGTGAAAGCGGCCTCCTGATCCGGAGTCATCCTGGCCTTTCTGCAATCCCTGAGTTTCTCCCCTTTCTGATGGCTCACAGCCCTCCAGCCAGCACAGGTTCTGGGGCTTCCCAAGGACTCTTGGGACAAAGGGGACAAGAGAGGCAACCCCACCGAGCCCCAGGGATGCACAGACTACACTCCCACAGCATCCCCTCCCTCCCGACTAGAGGCTGGGCAGCCCCTCTCCCCCTCCCACTGAGTCCCCTGTCCCCAGCCCCCACCTGCTCATTCCTCTACCTTTGATGGTCACCCAACCCAGCATCTTCCTGGAGAAACGTGTGAGGGAGGGGCACACGCATTGGCTCAGGGCAACCCCAGGGAGTCTCACCTGGCCTTGTCAAAGGTGCCCAGTAGGGCTGCAGAGTCTGCTCAGGAAAGGGCTGGAGGGACACAGGACAGCTCCTCTCAAGCAGTTGCTGACATGCCTGCCCCACTGTCCATCTATCTCTGCCTGGGGTGGCCTCATGTCACTTGCAACTCTAAAGCCAAACCATGCACTCCACAGGGATGGCTCTAATTCTCTCCCAAGACCTCCCCTTCCTAGGTCCCCTCCAATGATAGCATCCCACCTCCTGGAGTCCCCACTACAGAGCATCCCCAGCCTAAGACTTTGAAATCATAGAAAGTCAGACCTGGAAAGTGAACTGAGAAATCATCTCTTTTTATACATATGGAAAAGCCAGGGCCCAGAGAAGGGGAAAGACAGGCCTGGGATGGTGGCAGACCCAGAGTTACCCCCAACTCCCCCATCTAGTCTTCCTCCCCACTCCCTCCCTCCTGTGCCCCCTCACAGGGTTCCTTCTTCTGCACCAGCTGCCTCTGTAGGGGAGGGAAGGACAGAGCTTTCGGGTTCAGGAAGGTGGAAAGCCAGAGAGAGGGGCCTGCCAGGGCCAACTCCTAGCCTTCGACTAAGAACAATCTGACAATGCCCTGCCCCACCCCTCCTCCACCCGGGTGCCCATCTGAGACCTATGGAAGCCAGAGTGGGCAACTGTGCCACTCACCTCCCTCCTGAACAGAGTAACAGAAATAGGTACCACTTATTAAGCATTTACTAAGTGCCAGGTGCTGTGCTAAGAACCATGATTATCTGAAATAGTTATTATATGCCCATTAACTAAATGATCAGAATGAGGATCAGAGAGGTTAATCAACAGGCATAAGGTCACACAGCCAGTAAGGGAGTTGAGGGGAAGGGGGCACTGGAGAAAAGTGCTTAAGCCTGAAGGCATCTCAGATCTCCTCCTCATTCCCTGGGCTTCAAACCCAGGTCTGTCTGACTCTGTTCCCCTGGGTTCTCTGACTAGGCTGACAGTGAGCCACTGGGCCATGCTCAGGTTTGTCCATTCAGCAGATGCCTCAAAGGTATCAGGGCTAGAAGGAAGGATGGGCTGGAGCACAGGCACCCCACACTGAGGAAGCTCAGTACCTCTCCTGGTCTGCAGATGCACCTGTCGTGAGCCCAAGCGATGCCTCTGTCCCAAGACTACTGGTATCAGAAAGAACACATGGGCTTTGGGATCATCAGACCTGGGACAGAATCCCTGCTCTGTGTAGCCTTGGGCCTCAGTTTCTTAATCTGTAAAATGGGGACACCTATCCAGCAGGGTGGCTGGAAGGAAAAGAGAGAAGTTGTGAAAAGGGCCCCACACAAGTGATAAGGAAGCGGTCACCACGCTGCTCAGTGTGTTCTGTGAACTGCCCCACTCCTGGGAGTGCTCAGGGAGCAAGCTTTTCCCCCAGAAGGAAACAGAGGGAAAGAGTTGCCTGCACAGAGCCTCCTGGAATGTGGCGGGGCTCCTTGGCACTGAACCCTGCTTAGGAGCCCTGCTTTAATTAGCTCTCAACTAAAAATAGCTCCCCCACCCCCCTGGGCTGCACACCTACCTCCTGGCCTGACACTGGGGCATGCATGAGCCACCCTCAGGGGTGACAGCCAGCCTGTGACAGAACCCACAACACAGGAGGGTGCACAGAGCAGGAGGCTTTATTGAAGGAGGTACAGAAGCTGGCATAGCTCTGCTGCCAGCTGGGCCGCGGCCTCCACTCACCCCACACAGCCCTGTGGCTCCTGCACAACCCTCCCTCCCTGCTCCTGGACAGCTGGCAACACCAGGGAGTCTTACCCGGCCTTGTCGGAGGCACCCAGGAGGGCCTTCTGAGTCTGTTCAAGAAGGGTCAGGGGGACACAGGACAGCCCCCCCTCAAGCTGTCACTGCCATGCCGCCACACTGTCCATCCATCCACCAGCCCAGTCTATCTCTGCCAGGGGCGCCCACGTATCACTTGCAACTCTGGAGCCGGGTCCTGTGGTGCTTTTCCTCTGTCAGGAGGGGGATGAAGGTGTCGCTGTGGGAGAGCTTCAGCCGGCTGCTCCAGCCCGACCCCTCCTGCCCTGGAGGCTCTGGTGGGAGGTTGTCCAGGTCACCGTGGGAGCCCCCGGCCTTGCCCTCGCCTGCGCTGCTGGAATTGAGCTCCATCAGCTCCAGCTCGTGCTTGGCTGCGGTCTCCAGGACACGCTGCTTGTTGTAGTACCTGACGAAGTTGTTGATGATGGGGTGGATGGGCAGGGCGATGGCAATGACGCCGCACAGGAAGCTGATGGCCGCGTTGAGCTTGCCCAGCGTGGTCTTGGGGTAGATGTCCCCGTAGCCCACGGTAGTCATGGTGATGATGGCCCACCAGAAGGACTGGGGGATGCTCTTAAACAGGGTCTCCGGGTGGCTCTGTTCCATGGTGTAGCCCAGGGCGGAGAAGACGAAGATGCCCACGGCCAGGTACATGAGCAGCAGCCCCAGCTCCTTGAAGCTGCGCTTGAGGGCGTAGGTGAGGGTCTGCAGGCCCGAGGAGTGGCGCGCCAGCTTGAAGATGCGGGCGATGCGCATGATGCGCAGGGCCTGCACCGCCTGCTGCACGTTGGTCAGCTCCATCATGCGCGCGCCCAGGTGCGTGAGCGTGAGGCTCACGTAGAAGGGGAGGATGGCCAGCACGTCCACGATGTTCATGAAGGACAGGGCGAAGTGCAGCTTGTTGGGCGACGAGAAGAGGCGCAGCAGGTACTCCAGCGTGAACCAGCCGATGCATGCCGTCTCCACGTTCTCCAGCGTGGGATGCTCCACGCGGTTGCCCTCGGCGTCCAGCACCTGCAGCTCGGGGATGGTGCCCATGCACATGACCACCGAAGAGACGAGGATGAGCAGGAAGGACAGCACCGCCACCACGCGCGCGGGGCACGACGACTCCGGCTTCTCCAGGAACTTCCAGACGCACTTCTGGCAGCGGCGCCAGCGGCCCTCGGCCGCGTCCACGCCCAGGTCGTCCAGGATGAGCTGCACGCGGCGCGCGATCTCCTCCAGCTCCTCGTGCTTCTCGCTCAGGTGGCTCTTGCAGCAGTCGTCCAGGAACTTGAGGTCCACCTTCCAGAAGTCCATCTCGTTCTTGAAGCAGATGGGGCAGATGCCCTTCTTCATGTGGACCTCCCCGAAATAGTACACCTCGACGACACACTTGAACGCGTCGGGGTCCCTGTCAAAGTAGAACTCGCGCTTGCCGGGGTCGTAGTCGTCGCACAGGGAGAAGATGGTGTCGTAGCCCCCGGCCAAGCAGTGGATGAGCTCCGCCAGCCGGGTCTCCGGGTACCGGCTGAGCAGGTCTCCGTACAGCACCTGCCGCACGCCCCCTACGTTGACGACGATCTCAACGTCGTCGCCGGTCGCCGAGCCCTGGCTGCCGGGCTCCGGGAGGCTGCGCTCCCCGGACCCGTCCATCCCTCCGGCGCGTCCCCTCGGAGCCTCGGCTCCGCGCCACCTGCC